CTCCTCCCCCCTCCCTTGCCTCCTTCAAGACCCATCTCAAGACCCTCCTCTTCAACCGTGCTGCCTTCCTCCTCTCCCCAATCCCGACCCCCAACTCGGGTCCGAAACACTTGACTGTCCAGCGCCTTGATAATTCCTCCCGACATGAAAGTGCTATACAAATGTAATTTTGTTATTGTTGAGAGGACCTCCCAGGGAAGGAGGGAACAATGAAGGTGGAGCTGAAAGGAGAGGCAGTGGAGGAGAATAGAGTGGTCAACAGTGTCCAAGGTGGCAGAAAGATCGAGAAGAATGTGGAGACAGAGAGCGCCCTAATCTTAGATATGCAGAATGTAATTTCGGACTTTGACTAAGGCAGTCTCTGTACTGTGAGCGCACTGTGGAAATGTGGATAGCATTTTAACCTTATGTCAGCTTGGTTCAGTTGGTTGAAAGCTTGGCTCTGGTCTGGATCAAATGTTCTGTCTTCAGGAAGACATTAACGATCCCATGATATTTGAAGAAGAAACTGCTGGTTGCGTAAGTTTGCATTTCATGCTGCAATAGCACAGTACAGTTGACCACAGTGTCCTGGGCTAGGTAGATATAAATTCTAGATTTTGATCTTCATTCGTATGCAGTAACCATTGCTGCAATAAATGTGTGAACATTATGCGAGGACAGGATCAGGTTTGGTTGATCCACTCAATGCAGAACCTACAGTCTAAACTCACACATGAAGAATGGCCACTTGAGCAAAGCAGTAGAGGACAACCATACCGTTAATGGTGAATCTCACTTCAAGATAGTAGGAGCTGTCAGATCTGATCTAAGATCATGTTGAGGTAAATTGGATCTCATTGAGGAGCTTTCGCAGGGGAGAAATTTTAATTCTAAAGTTCATTGTACAGTAATTTGCATTACATAGAGCTTAATATGAGCCTTTATTGGCAAAACATCTCAAAGGGCATCACAGAATTTACTGTAAAGTATAGTGACTGTGTATTTGTCGGTGAATGTAGGATTCCTTTGTACTCTAATTATGCACCCAGCACAGCAATGATAGTGTAACTGTGACTACATTTTTCATTACTCATGATCATAGTTGCCTATATATCTCCTCGCCCCTTTTGCCCCAGACTCCAAACATTGCCACCTTTAAATTAAAGCACAAATTGCTTTTTCAACAGTAATTAAAACCGTCACAGAGCGGCTTCACAGTGTATTACCTGCTTGACAATTTCCAGAGTGTATTACCTACTTGACAATTTACCTTGACATCTATCTACGTTTGATGATAATTTGAATCAAGCTTCCACAATCTTGTATTTACAAGCAGTAATCTATTTCCAGAAGTTTCAAAAGATAACTTAAATAATGCTGCTTGGACCACATTTTTTTAAGTATACACAAGCTTATAAAACTCTAGAGGCTTCTTCCTTGGGTGATGAAGTGCTTACCCTAGTTTAGAAGATGGGCACTTTATCATTGGTAGACAAAAGCTGCTAAAAAGCTTGAGAGCTCTATGCTATTCACTAAGGATCACATTATGATTTATTGATGGTGGGATAATCATTAAAAAAATGTGATTGATAATCACAGAATTTCAAAACACCAACAATTTTGTTTTTGTCTGCAGAGGGAATGCCTTTGTCCAAGTACAGAGACTTTTTAGTGAACACTGTAAATTCCTCTCTGGTACAGTACGGAGAACATTGTAATTAAGACTAGACAAATGGATGTTCTCAAGTATTCTTCTGAAAAATGTATTTAAAAAACAATTCCATGTCTAGATTTTTCACTTATTGAATCTATTTGTGATGGCTTTCTGAACAAGGTCACTAATTTTGGTAGCAAACATTATGATTGTATCAACTGAGCCTTGGTCCCTGCCCCTCCTTCCCATTCCCCTAACTAATCCCTTTCAGTTCTCCACCGAAACTAATGACAGAGTAAAGGAAGAGGGGGGGGGGGGAGTTCCTGGCTATCAAAACTAACCTTGAAAGTGCAACAATGGTGGCCTTAATCCATATGTCACATTACTGTGTGTGTTACAAGGTATATTGCAAGCATTTGTAGGGATTTATCCACAGGTTTCTAGATGTATTTTGTTTACTATCTTTTTACAAAAACACGACTTGACGGATATTAGAATTAATATGAATCTCCCCGAATTAGAGGTTTTGCTCTTGATCATTATCCAGTAACACCCGGGCCTGTATTATATGTGCGGATGGATAAGGACAAAATTAAGTGTGCTTGTAATGTTCCTTTACTGTTGAATAACTACCGATAGGCATGGATGAAGAAAACCTAGTTTGAGGTGAGATTCCAGGCAGGGCGAAACCTTGGGCAGGTTTCCTTACTCCACACACCTAATAAGAATCCCTCCAAAACAAAACAATAATAAATTGGTCATTTTCAATCCACGACTGTTTGTGGGACACTGCTGTGCGCAATTGGCTGCCACGTTTCGCCTACAAATATACGGTCAATTCACTTTACAGTCTATTCTGTGAAGCGCTTTGACTCGTCTAGAAGACGTGAAAAGTGCTATATCAAATTCAAGGATTATTATTATTATTATTTTGGAGGACTGCTGGTACGCACACAAACAAATCTGTGTCATTGACTCCAGCAGTGAGGAAAGAAAGCTCGGGTGGGTAGATAAGGAAGATGAGAAAAACGTTTAGCATCTGATCCTACTATAAACATAAGTATAACAAGTATCTTAACAGTCTTTGCCTCCTAAGACATAGGGTTTCATCATTTTACAGCTGCAGGACCACCTGAAAAATTTGGTGATCGTAATGGAAGATAGGAAGTTCAACAACTAAACTCTTGAATAAAAGAACCTAGGAAATAGAAAAAAGAGACAACCGTCATATTGTGTATTGTAAAAGATGGCCTGCCATATGTCCAAGGCTGTAATACAATCTGAGTTTGGATGACATCTGACCCCCTTGAGCTTGCTGCTTCCATATTACATACTCCAAACCATCTGTTATTTATTACAGAGAATTTTGTGATTGTGCAATTGATTTTCTCTTTTGCTACCTGAGTTAAAACTCCCTTCTGTCCACACTGTTTAGGAAAACCTCTTGTTTGATCATTTTTCGAAAGCATCTATACTTTGCTTTTTGTGTAACATATAAGGGACGCTGTTCTCTCATCCATACTTTCATCATATCCAGGTTGGACTACGCTAATACCCTGCTTGCTAAAGGCCCTAACTCTTCTCTACATGGGAAGCAATCAGAATTCATCAGCCATGTCCTCTCCCACACCAAGCTCCGCGAGCCAATCATCCTCATCCTTGCTCGGCTCCATTGGCTCCCCATCCTCCAACAGATTAAATTCAAGACCCTCATTCTCACTTTAAAATTCTTCCATGGTTGCGCCCCCACTCTCTGTACTCCTTCAGTCCTACCACCCGGCTTTTCCTTCAGTGAACCTCAGCCTGCTTCATTTTCCCCATCCTATCTGCCCTACCATTGGGGGCCGGGATTTTAGCCATTCAGCTCCCGCACTCCATCTCAGAGATCCTCTGAATCGCTCCCATCTTCAACTCATTCAAAATCCATCTCAAGACATACGTAGCTCTTTGACCCTGCTTTCATTCATTTCTCTACTCCTCTTCTTCAGCTCCCAGCCCCAGTTCGGTGCCCAGCCAGCAAAGTTAAGTGCTTTGAGACATCATCCCTATGTGGAAGGCACAAAATAAATATTCATTGTTTTGCTTTGTATAAAACCAAGGTATTTTGTGATGTCATCTGCATGTGACTACGGTGTGATCACTTTGTCGCGACTTAATTGATAGTCAGATTACTTTAAGAGCAACTGTAGCACCATTCACTAAAATGTATAGTAAAGAGAAAAAATATTTTCTTACTTTCTGGTATCATGGTTTCGGTACAATTCATGACTCCTCTCATTGCCAATTGCTTCCAAACTCTGCCAAAATGTGTGTACGATCTTATTACAGTGACACAATAGCCAATAACCCATTATATTTGATGCTTTGTGTTCACTTGGATGCTTTTAACAAGCAGTAGCAATAGATCATAATGTGGTTTCAGTTGAAACTGTCAACAGTGGGCTCAAATATTCCTCAGGGCAGTCACATCATATACTTTTGACTGTATTAGGAACCTTCTGTGGTCACAAATTCTAAAAATCAAGCCAAGTTGGCCTTTCAGCTCTAAAAACTGGGTTTCAATGCGTCCCAAATGGATTGGATGGCAGTCTCAATCCGGTTCCCCGCACATAGTTATCCTATTTCAAGTGTAAAATTGTCAATCTCATTGAAGAGGCACAAGACAAATGAGGTGGAAAATATCATACTGATATGGAATGTTCTAACTTTGGGGTGTGGTTGAGGAGCATTGCACTGCTTTTAGTCATGTTATACCTGACCTAGAACAACAACAACAACAAGATTCCATTTATAGAGCGCCTTTCACGTCGGGAGGACGTCCCAAGGCGCTGTACAGTTGGGTCAGGAGCCGAGCAGGGGGGAAATGGTCAGGGTGAGGGGAGGGAGGGAGCGAGGAGGGGGGAAATGGTCAGGGTGAGGGGAAGGAAGGAACTCAATGCTAGCACGAGGTTCCCAAAATAAGATATGTTTCATTTCCAAGTATTAACAATGATCACTTTTGGAGGAATCTACGAAAATACACAATTTAAAAGCTGATCAAATATACTTTCCCTTAATGCACTTGACCTCCTTTCTTGAATAAAAGGTTAAAAAAGTGCCTCCTGTAGCTAGATTGCGAATTCTGTTATCAATTTGATAAACTGATTATAGTGTAAAATAATATTGTTCTCCTATCATGTCTGTGATCTTTTTGATTTAATTTATGCCCTGGGCAACTTCAACATGTTAATGCTTTCATAGCTGATGTCTTGAGAGTAAAATATCAGTGAAATATTGAGTAGCATTGCATTCCTGAATGAAGCTGGATACAGCGCTTGCGCTGAATGAAACAAATACAATAACTGGTGCATTCATTTTCTTGCAGAAAGCAGATCACTTCAAGCTTACCTCAGCGCAATTCAATGAGGCGGCAATGAAAGCCCATATAACGTAAGTACCCACAAATGAGATTATTTATTTGTAGTTTTGCAGCTTGTAAATTAAGTGCTGGATTGTAACAAGAGAATTCTGGATTTACATTTCCTGCCTTTAGTGAACATAGTCCACAAGGATAGGATAGTTCAGGCCACGATCTTCAACAACACAATTGTTTGGAGGGAAAGCATGGTTTGCATTGAGGTACTCGGTTAAGGAGTCTGAATCTCTTCCTGCATGAGGCAGGAGTGTTTGAGTTCTCATCTGCAGCTGAAGTGCTCAAACACTTCAAAGCTAAGGGTCACCTTCAGCAGATAGATGTTAGTGTGATAGCATATTGCTGTGTCAAAGCACAACATCGCAAACGTTTTCTAACTATTAATTTGCTTTAAAATGAAAGGTGATGAGGACGGTTTGACATCAAATTCAGATGTGTGTATTCAGTAAAACTGGGAGGGTTTGTGTATATTCAGTAAAACTTCCCGTGTGTTTTTATAAGTATAATTCTTAAACTTAAGCCTCAAACAGAAACGTTTTGAGATATTTTACGTGAAAGGAGCTTTTAATGTTATTGCATTTAATATTGTGCCTTATTTAAAAATGAATCAAAGTACTTCGCGTGAGTTACTTTAACATTAATATTTAGTGACTTGCACAACAAATGCTACTGCAATGTTACAAAACAGTCAGATGAATGACCAATTACAACTGAAGATCTCAGTTATAAGGCAACCTCCTCCCTCCTAATTTTCCTAAGCATTTTCCTTCTTAATATAATATAAGATTCAAAACTCATGCAATCCCATTAAGCCAATGATAGTTCACAGAGTTAGTAAAAATAGCCAATCAGTTGGTGCATAGAATGCATTTACTCACATACACAATATATATTGATATAGATTGGTAGATCGCTTTGCGGGGGTAATAATCCCTTTTTAAAAAAAATAACAATAATTTGGTCACTCAATCCACGACTGTCTGTGGGACACTGCTGAGGATAAAAGAGAAACCAATGGAAAAGAAAATTCTCAACGTTACCATTTATAAGTTTATTGATTATTGCAATCCTCCTTTTGTGGTAGGTGGGGGTGGGTGGGAGGAGAGTGGAACACTCAGTTCTAATGACGCACAACTAGCATTATATAATAATGATAATCCTTGCATTTGATATAGTGCATTATCATGTCTTAGAGACGTCTGAAAGCACTTCACAGATTATACTGTAAAGTAAATTGACTGTATATTGTTCCAGCATTTAGTATAAAAAAAAGCAAAATCGTATTAAAATTATATTATCCAATAGTATTATTGTTGAGACTTAGTATTAGCTTGCATTCTTGTTTTGATGACTAGGATTTGTGCAATGGAGATAATGCTTTGTACAAATTGGTATGTCTGAGCAACTATACACACAATCACAATAGACATTTGCAGGTACAGTATTATGTATAACTTTTGTTTATGGTGTGGACGACCAAGTGAACAGTGTTAACTTGCGGCCAGATGAGTTTGACACCCCATTGGTTAAGAGTATTCTCCAGTATTACTGTCAATAATAATCCTTGTATCTTGTAAAGCTCCTTTCACATCAGGAAGATGTCCCAAAGCACTTCACAGAATGCTCCACCTCCTCGGTCTTCTCCTCCCTCCTCTCCTCGCTCAACCTCTCCCTCCACATCAACTCCGCCACTCACATTCACGGCCACCCACTCGATTTGACGATCACCCGGAGCCTCAGTGTCTCGGATGTCACCATTACCGATAAAGCCGTCTCCAATCACCATTTCATCTCCTTCACCACCTCCACTCCCCACCTCCACCAGACCACCACCATCTTCTACGTCCCCTGGAAGAAGTTACCCCCACAATCCCTAACCGCTGCCTTGGAGTCCTCTGAACTCCTCTCCCTCTGGCCTTCATCCCTCACTGACCCCTCTTCTGCTCTCACCCTCCTCCACAACATCCTCTCCTCCACACTTGACACTCTTGCCCCCATCACCTCCCGTACTGTCTCTTACTCTCGCTCTTCCACCTGGTTCACCACCCATCTCCGCTCACTGAAGTGCCAGGTGCGGACCGCTGGACGCACCTGCCTCAAATCTGGCCTAACGGTCCACCGACAAATCTGGCTGGACCTCCTCAAAATCTACCGCTCCACTCTAGCCTCTTCCTTCTACTCCAGGATAATCCTGGAGGCGAAGAACAACCCCAGGCTTCTGTTCTCCACCACATCCCGACTCCTCCGCCCCCCCGTCACCCCGCGCAGGTCATCTCCTCCAACCTTCACTGCGAGGAGATGCTGGATTTCCTTGAATCCAAAATCAAGGGAATCCGCTCCGCGGTCACTGCCCCTCCAACTTCCACCCACCCCCCACTCCCTCCCTCCCACACTCCGACTCCTACCCATCCTCCCCTACACACCTTCGAACCCGTTTCCCCACCCTGTCACCAACGTCATCCTGTCCTTGAAACCCACCACCTGCTCCCTGGACCCCATCCCCACTCCTTATCTCCCATCTCCACCTCCTTGCCCCACTTCTCACAGACACCATTAACCTGTCCCTCTCCTCTGGCTCTGTTCCCATTGCCCTCAAAAGTGCCACCATCACTCCCATACTGAAAAAACCCTCCCTTGATGCGTCACAGCTATCAAGCTACCGGCCCATCTCCAACCTCCCCTTCGTGTCCAATGTTCTCGAAAGAGTTGTCGCCTCCCAGCTGCGCTCATTCCTCTCCACCCATTCACTATTTGAACCCCTCCAGTTGAGTTTCCGTGCTGCTCATAGCACGGAAACCGCCCCGGTCAAGGTCACGAATGACATCTTGACCATCTGCGACCAGGGCTCCCTTTGCCTCCTCGTCCTCCTCGACCTATCGGCCGCATTCGATACGGTCGACCACTCTATCCTCCTCCACCGCTTGTCCTCCCACCTCAACCTTCAAGGCCCTGTCCTTGAGTGGTTTAGGTCGTACCTCTCCCACCGTCTTCATTTTGTTTCCACAAACGGCTTTTCCTCCAGCGCCCGCACTGTCTCATGTGGTGTCCCTCAGGGCTCTGTCCTCGGTCCCCTCCTCTTCACCCTCTATATGCTCCCCCTCGGTGACATCATCCGCAGACATGGGGTTAACTTCCACCCAACTCTACCTTTCCTCTTCTACCCTCAACTCCACGACCACCGATGTCCTGACAGCTGCCTGTCCGACATCGAGTCCTGGACGAGAGACAACTTTCTTCAGCTCAACGTGCGCAAAACTGAGGCCCTCCTGATTGGCTCACGTCAGCGCCTCCGCACCTCAGGCGCTGACAGCATCAGCATCCAAGGCTGCACTCTCCACCTCTCAAAGCCATCAGGAACCTCAGGGTTCTGTTCGACCCTGAGCTGTCCTTTCTTCCCCACATCTGCGCCACAACTGGCACCGCCTTCCACCACCTCCGGAACATCTCCAGACTATGGCACTACCTCACCCCTCACGCTGCTGAAACTCTGGTCCACACCTTTATCAACACAAGGCTGGACTATGGGAATTCTCTCCTCGTCGGCCTTCCCGGCACCTCCCTCCACACTGCAGGTCATTCAGAACTCTGCAACTCGTGTACTGTCCCGCACCAGGCTTCGAGACCACATCACTCCCACCCTCGCTCGCCTCCACTGGCTCCCCATCCCCCAGAGGATCGAATTCAAGATCCTCATCCTCACCTACAAGGCCATTCACGGCCTCGCTCCCTCCTACCTCTCCGAATTACTATCCCCCTACTTACCTGTCCATACCCTCCGTTCCTCTGGCTCCGATCTGCTCCACATCCCCCGCCCTAACCGCCCTACCATCGGTGGTCGGGCCTTCAGCCTCTCAGCCCTGAGGCTCTGGAACTCTATCCCCCAGTGCCTTCGCCGCTTCCTCCCTTTCCTCCTTCAAGGCCGGTCTCAAGACCTTTCTCTTCAACCGTGCCTTCAGCTCCCCTCTCGACTCTCTACCCGCTCCTCGCTCCCTCCTTTCCCTCTCCTCACCCCACCGTGACCATTTCCCCCCTGCTTGGGTCCTGACCCAACTGTCCAGCGCCTTGGGACGTCCTCCCGATGTGAAAGGTGTTCTATAAATGCAATCTTGTTGCTGTTGTACGGTAGAGTGACTGTTTTACGGGTGAACATGGCAGTCAATTTGAGTACAGCACTATCCCACAAATAGCTATGGAGTGAATGACTAATTTTATTTGGGGGATTGTTGTCTGAAAGAAACTCGCTTCATATCATCGCAGCGAGCCAGCACTTCTCCCTCTGAATGGTTAGGTGTACATCACGGGGCAGCACCAGAGCTCATCAAGAGAAAAGGTAGCTATTTGTGCAATTCTGACTAGGTTGTGAACTCTGAAGATTATATGAGAAATTTATTTCAGGGCAGGTGTACATTCAGTGAAAAGAGAAGCCGTGAACATCGAGAACCTCCATTGCAACAGGAGCCCACAGCCTTTTTCACAGATACAGAATGGGAGCAGTCAATAATTCTACAACATTGCAAGCTCCTGTTATAGGTCACCAGAATGTATCCATTTTACGTTAAATGGCTTTAAAAAGAAAATAAAAAGACAGAGAACAACAATAATACCATAAGGATTCTATTTAGTCGCAGTGATACAGTTCAGGGCATTATCGTTGTTCATTTGCTGAAAGAAGGCTCCTTGAGGACACAGTTCTCTCTTGGGCTGCACCATGGAGTGGAGGATTGAGGTCTTCTTCCTCCCTCTGCCAAGTTCCTGGACATGGCTGTGCTTTTACGGGTAGTGACTGAACTTGAGGTGAGGTTTGTCTCCAGATGGAGAAGTGAGGAATTGTAGAAGAGAAAATGCGCTTGGTTGCTCCTGTACCCAGCAGCTTGAGAGCAGCCCTCCCTGATATCTTAAAAATAGGACATCATATAAATTCTGTAAGGGGAAAGTAATGGGGCAAATAGATGTGTACAAATCATAGCAGGGGAGCTATATTCTAAATAAAATGTACATTTAATTCAGGATATGTTTT